TGCTGTTTCCCATTTAACCTATATTTTCTACAATAAATCTGTCCAACTGAAATACAATGTAACATTTTAAATGTTCTAGTAACTACATTAAGAAGTTAAAAAGAAACCAGAAAATACTTATTATGCTATATTCATTATGACCTGTAATCAGTATAAAAATGGACTTTTTAAACAGTATGCCTGTCTAATGCCAACTGTAGTATGCATTTAAACTCCTTTCCCTTATGTTCAAATGTAGTGCATATTTACATTTTCAGCGCATCTCAGTCTGGGCCACCAATATTTCCTGTACCTAATAAGTACATGTGGATTTTGGATAGCTCTATAAAATAGAATCAAGCCAGACTCTGATGGGACACCTGTAATCCTAGTTACTCAAAAAGTTGGGAAGCTGGCCTAGGCAGAAAAACCCAAGGGTCTTAATTTCCAAAATAACCAGCAGAAAGCTGGGATTGAAGTGTAGCTCAAATGGTAGAAAACCAAGCAAGCAAGCCAAGGTACTGAGGCACTGAGTTCAAATTCCAGTACTTTTTACAAAAAGTATTAAAAAAAAAAAGCAGCTACCATTGATCAAGGGTTGGTTGATCCATGCTGATCATTGCTTCAAATCCATCAAGTGGGGATTGTAATTCATTCACTCTCACAAAAACTCTATGAGGTTGTAATTATTGTCATCTCCATTAAGCACATTTTAAGCACATGTTACTTTTCCAGTAACATCATGATAACAGTTTTGCAAACTACTACTTTTTTTTTTTTTGGTCATGGGGCTTGAGCTCTGGGTTTGGGAGCTGCCCTTTCACTCTTTAGCTCAAGGTGAGCACTCTACTACTTGAGCCACAAAGCCACTTCCGGTTTTCTAGTGGTTTATTAGAGATAAGAGTCTCATGGACTTTCCTGCCTGGGCTGGCTTTGAACCATGATCCTCAGATCTCAGCCTCCTGAGTAGCTAGGATTACAGGCCTGAGCCACTGGGGCCAGCTGCAAACTACTTCTTAATGCAAAGAGGGGTGTACAGGCTTGAGTGAAAGAGAAGTGAGAAAAAGTTGGGCAGGGTCGTAAAACTACTCAAAATAGTGGTAAAGAAAGTCAACAAATTGAGGAAAACATGAGGATAAAAAAATCTTTTGTTCAGTAGGGAGACCTGATGAATGTGATCTTAAGAAGAGGGAGGGAGATGAAAGCCCAAAAGGATAGGTTTGAGGATATTCCTGAACCAAGCTTTCTACAACTGCAGAGATCACTGCTGGCTCACACCTATAATCCTAGCTCTTCAGAAGGCTGAGATCTAAGGCTCATGATTTGAAGCCAGCCTTGGTATCAAAGTCTAGGAGACTCTTGACTCCAATTAAACAGGAAAAAGTCAGAAGTGAAGGTATTTTTCAAGTGGTAAAGTGTCGGCCTTGAGTGAAAAAGCCAAGGAAACATGAGGCCCTGAGTTCAAGCCTCAGGACTGGCACAAAAAAATAGTTAATTAGGGGCTGGGAAGTGGTAGAGCGCTTGCCTTGCATGCATGAAACCCTGGGTTCAATTCCCCAGCACCACATAAGCAAAAAGAAAAAAAGCCGGAAGTGGCACTGTGGCTCAAGTGGTAGAGCGCTAGCCTTGAGCTGAAGAGCTGAGGGACAGCGCCCAGGCCCAAAGTTCAGGCCCCACGACTGGACCCCCCCAAAAAAACTTTAAAAAAATTTAACTGACTAATTAATTAATTAATTAACAAAGCCAGGGGCCCTAGTGGAGATATTGCCTGGCCTGTATGAAGGGCCAGGATATACATCACAGCTTTCCGGCAGAAGGGGTATATTTGAGAAAGATTCCCTAGTTTCCTGTATAAGCAAAAATAGTTAGCAGTCAATTTAATCTAGCGTTTCTTTGGAGTCAGGCATTGCTCCTGGGCATCTTGTATGATTATGTTTAATCCTTGTTGAGTTAACACAGTCATTTCACAGACATTCAAACTTGGCTGTGGATCTCATCAGTAGTAAATGGAAGGGTCAGGATTTGAGGCCAGTTTATCCCAGAGATGGAGGAGGGAGGAGAAATATTGATGTGGAACCAGAATTGGTAGAGATGGTCCAGATTGCATCAGCACAGTAGGCATCAGGCTCCTCTGCAGAAAAGTGTCACTAAGACAGGGAGAGGGAGGAACCCTAGCAGGGAAGAGGAGGGTCAGGACATATATAGAGTGAAAGATAAGCAGTCAGAAGATGTATGAGGTGGGAGAGAGACCAGTGTGCCTGGTCAGCCTCCATCTCAGGCAGAGCTCAGCAAGTCAGGAGGCAAAAATGGAGAAAGGTTGGAGAATTGAGGAAGACAACGCTGAAAGTAAAGACTAGTGGTATTTGGATGTAGTATCTGCTGTGGAGGATGGTGATAGTGAGGGCAACTGGGAGGAGTGGAGGGAGGGCAATGGTGATGATGAATCCACCTTACACCATGGCCATCTTAGAGAACCCTGAAGGAGACAAATTCTTTTCTTAATCTGCTACAGGGAAACAGCCAAAGGAAAGAGAATCTAAAGGGATCAGAAGTAGAGCAAACTTGGCAAGGGGTAAGGAGCTGCACATGGAATCAAGGAAGGAAGGAAGGAAGGAAGGAAGGAAGGAAGGGGAATTAATGGTGAAGGCAATAAGAGAAAGAGGCATGGGAAGAAAAGTGGGAGAAGGTTGCTCAGTGAAGCCCAGCACCAGCGAAAGCCAGCACCAGCACACCACAGAAGGGTCTGGAGAAAGTGGGCTGCAGCAGCCCCAACAGAGGGGAAAGGAGGCATGCTTGAACACTGGGCTGCCCCAGCTGAGCCAGTCTGTGAGCAGACTTGCTCTGGATCATCTGTGCTCTGCTTCTTCATCTGTAAAATGGAGTTGAGAACAGACATCTGGATGTCATCCTTTCAAAAGCATAACAAGGGAAGATGACATTTTTTAGTATTTTGTTTTTTTTTAAGGTCTATTTATTGAGATACAAAGAGGTGTGGATGAAAGTAGCTGTGGTCAATTGTCAATTCAAGTTTAGGAATGGATGGGTAGATTACAAGACCTCTTACCTGCCGGATTAAGTAGTTCTTGGCCGTTATGGCAGCCTCCTAGTGCGGATAAGAGGCAGAAATCTACGGCTAGACCAGAAGATTTCACCAATGGGAAGGGAAGCAAAGCAAGGCCCAGGGGCCAGGCTCCAAATAGCTACAGCCCCGATTTTCCCAGTCCTTGGTCTATCACCCGCAGAACTGGAGCCCATTTATCCAAATGAATCCCGCAAGTCGGTGGGGAACTTGCTTTAACAAAATCCCCTAGCCATAACATTCCATTTGTGCATCTGCCCAGCTCTCCATGGGCCCGGTTCTTTCCCCCACACTCTTCCCCATTCCCTCTACCAAGGGTGGATCCGAGGAGGAGGAAGAGGAGGAGAAACAGGATGCTGTGGGGGGACCATGAAGCAGAAGTGGGGTGTGCGTGTCACAGAGGGAATAGAACCGGACAGTGTGCTGACACCAACAGCCGGAAGATATCGTGAGGTCCACAAGAGCTAACGACGCTAGGTGCTGATTTGCTAAACGATTCCCTCCCATCACATTTCGGGGGACCTAGTCGAGAAGCCCAGTGTTGGCTTGAGCGCTAGGTAGCTCAGGACGAAAAGGGCTGCAGAGTGCGGCCTCCGGGTCGCCTCCGCCTCTCGACGCCCCCTCTCCTCCCTGCCCAAGGGGGCCGGAACGGCGTCGGCTCGCACGGGCTTTACTGAGCAGTGGAGTGGAAAATAGACTTTAACCCGCTTTGTAGCTGCGAGGACGCCCGGAGCGCTCTCCTGCACCCAGGCTCCGGGCGCTCAGACGGGCCACTGTCAAGACCTGGCCTGGAGTCCCCGCTGAGTTGTGCGACTCCCAGACCCTTTGGACCCCGGGGCAGCCAGAAGCCCATGCCCAGATCTACGCGCTTGGGCTCCCGGAAAGCGGCATTCGCTTCCATTCCTTCTGCGAGGTGAACGGGCAAGGGCCGCGTCCAGCCCCCACCCCACCCCCTCACCGCAGCCTAGAACCCTCCTAGGCCTGGGCGTGCTGTTTCCTGGCGGCCTTGGAAGGCTACGATGAAAAAGTTTCCCGAGATTGATTGTCATTGCCAATCGTCCTCTTACCCTCAGTGATTAGTGCAAGGAGTGAAAACTGGCCGAGCAGACCTGTCCGCTGCTCCAAGGTCGCGGGTGAACTTCGCCGCAGGGGGCTTCCCTTGCCTTCCCCGGACGCGCGGGCTGCTGCACGGCTAGCTACAATTTAAGACACAGTGTCCTCGAGGACACACGGTCCTGGCCAGGGAAACACTTCAGCTCGCGATCAGTGCAGGTGGCCCTGCGCGGTGGTCCTGGCGGTCGGTGTGGAGCCAGACGCCGCGCCAAGGCGGGGTTCAGCCCGCTGCTCCCCAGCGCCTCAAGCCACGGCTTGAGAGCTGCGGGATGACGGATCCCGCGGCTGCTCCCCGCGCAGCATCACCCGGGTCCCCTTGAGAACCCAGGCCGCGGTTTCAGGTGGCGGGTCCGGAGACCAAGAGCGGGTCAGCGGGCAGTCCCGGAGGTCAGGAGATCAGGGAGCTGGTTCTCCTGAGAACCTATTTGTTGGACCCCCTAGCTAAACACCCACCCCCGACCTCGGATCCAAGTTTTCTAAGAAGTAAAATGACATGCTAGGTAGGTATGGTGAGCAGGGTCCACTGACGGAGCGGGCGTGGACTTTCTTCACAAGCGCCAGGCTCTCCGTGTACTCACTTTGGCCTCCGCTGGGTTTCGGACGGCGGTGCTGGCCACCAGACTCAACTAAAGGGCGGAGTCTCGAACAGAGGCTACGGGCAGGGCGGGGCAAGCGACTAGCTCGTCGCGCACAGGCTCCAGTCCGGTTTTTGCCTCCGACTGCCGACTCCTTTTCCCCACCCGCCGCCCCTCGCCCCGCCCCGCCCCGCCCCCCACCTTGGGGCAGGTGAGTGGCGGCCAATGGGCGAGCGCGGGGCAGGTGCCCGCTAACTCGCGCGGCGGAGCGCGGCAGCCCAGGCCCGGTGGGGCTCTGCTGAGAGGATCCCGGGCGGGGGTCGGTCGTGGCGTGCCTTGGAAGGGAACGAGCTGGCCTCAGCCCTCGGGCGGTAGAGCAAGCTCTTAGCCTCGCAGGCTGGCTGCGCCCGCACGGGGCTCCTGGAGCCCCGTTGGTCCCCTTTTGGCCGCTCGCTGGAGCCCGTGCTCCCGACTGTGCGCGGTGGCTGGACTCGGAGCTAGCTCGGCTCGCACACCCCTCACCGCTCCGCGCCTGGCTCGCTAGCGAAGGCCGAGCGAAGGCGGGCGGGCGGGGGAGGTGAGGGGTGCGGGTGTGTGTGTGTGTGTGTGTGTGTGTGTGTGTGTGTGCATGTGCATGACTGGGTGCACACCCCGCAAGGCGGCAGAGCCAGGACGCCCAGCGCTCCCTGGAGCCCCGCTGCCTCGCCCGACTCCGGCAGCCACGACCATGTTCCAGCCCGCGGCCAAGCGGGGCTTTACCATAGAGTCCTTGGTGGCCAAGGATGGTGGCACCGGCGGCGGCACTGGCAGCGGGGGCGCGGGCTCCCATCCCCTGGCGGCTGCCGCTTCAGAGGAACCGCTCCGGCCCACAGCACTCAACTACCCTCACCCCAGCGCGGCCGAGGCAGCCTTCGTAAGCGGCTTCCCCAGCGCCGCCGCCGCCGCGGGTGCCGGCCGCTCGCTCTACGGAGGGCCCGAGCTCGTGTTCCCCGAAGCCATGAACCACCCGGCGCTGACGGTGCACCCGGCGCACCAGCTGGGAGCCTCCCCGCTGCAGCCTCCGCACTCTTTCTTCGGCGCCCAGCATCGGGACCCTCTCCACTTCTACCCCTGGGTGCTGAGGAACCGCTTCTTCGGCCACCGCTTCCAGGGTGAGTGTCCACGCTGTGCGGGGCTGGCCGGCGTCCGCACCGCGACGAACGCTGGGGAGGGTGCGGAAGGGGGGTGTCGCGGGGCTGTTAGGAAGTTGTTGCGGAGAAGGTTGCGGGTCCACAGAGATGGATTCTCCCAGCCCTGCGGATCCACCTGTGTTCTGTTGCGGTATCCCACCCGGAGAGTGAGGTGGGTACCTCCATGCTTTCCCAGGAATAAGGCTGGGTTCGAATGCCAAGTCCAGGAGCATCAACAGGAACCTCTTTTGGCTTTCTCTTGGCTCGCCTCTTTCCTCTGGACTGACTGAGCCAGTCCCAGCCCCGAGAGCGCGGGGCTCTCTGCCCCCTCTCTCGGTCCCAGCTTTGAGTCCGTGTGATTCTTGGCGCTCAAGTTCACCACCAACTCCCAGGGATCCTTCGCTGGCGCATCTGGGCAGGCGAAAGTCCATCCAGCTGCCCTGGCTCTGTGGGAAGCAAGGGGCATGGGGGAGGTTGAACCGCAGAGTTAATGTTCAGTGTGGGGTGCTCCACTGTCTGGGGTTGTTCCTCATAACCTTGCCCCTGCTTTTCCAAGTCACCATTGCCTCTAGGACCTAAGATGGGAAGATTTGCAATGAACAAAGTGGTTTCCTTGGTCGCTGGCTGCCTCCCGATCCCACCTGGTTGCAGGGGCCCCACAACAATCCTCCCCTAGCAGGGAGTAAGAAGTAGAGGCAGAGGGCTTTTAAGGTCCAGTCTAGTCCTAACCCCCAGTCTAAACCCAAATCAGCTTGCTAATTAAGATCCTCACAGGCCTTACACACACATTTACACACACACACATTTACACACAGAGTTCAATCATCTGAGTTACTCAAAGAACAGTTTCATCTGTTGAAGATCGTTTTCTTGAATGTGTTGGACTTTTTCTTTCCTTCATTAAAAATATACTGGCCTTGATTTGTCCAGTAATTGCTTTAGGTCCCACTTAATTTGTTAGTGTAGCCTGGATCTCAGGTTTGTGAGGTTCCATCGCCCAGAGGGAGCTAGGTAATTCAGCTTTTAGTGGAACAACGAAAAACACGAGGCTGGAGCTTTGGCTTCCGGCAGTAAGCCAACTCAAAGTCAAATAGATGTTTGGGATCATTGTTTAGGTAATAAAAGAAAGGTGATCTCCTGACGTTTTGGAAAAAGCGGCGTGACTGTCTCAGAAAACAAAACAAAACAAAACTGCTTTTCAGGGTCTCGATTTGTCAGTCCATTATCTGTCCCACCTGACCAATAAGATTCCTACTCCGCAGACCCCACGGATTCAGAGAATGCAATTACTTCAACAAGAATTCTTGTGGGCAGACTTGTCTCCTCCGAGGATTTCAAAGATTTGCCTAAATCCAAGTCTGGTGTGGGTGGGGGAAGAAGTCTTGAGTGATAGATGCTTGGGGTAAGAGTTCCGACCACTTAAAAATGCTTACTTATAAAATGAGGGTTTGGGGTAGTTGTTGTTTATATATATATATTTAGCAAACTACCGGGAGGCGGGGATGGGGGGGGGGGGGCTGGCTCTAGATCTCAAAACTTAAGAGCCCAGCACTGAGTTTGATTCTCCGCTGCCCGTGAATCCGCGGCGGAAGGGTAAAGGGGTGGTGAAGGCATTAGAACTAGCGGGTCCGGAGCCCTGCCCCGCGGCCCGGCGTGGCTGCTCCAGAGGTGGCCTCCCGGAAGCTTCTTCCGTTTCGGATCCAGACTCCCACGCCCTCCTCGCACCCTCCTTTCGCACCTGGCCTCGCCCGCACAGCCCTGGGGCACCGAGAGCTAGAGAAGCATTGCCAGAGATGCTTGCCGGAGACCCGAACCTCCCCACCCAGGCGAGGCCAGATGATTTCTCAGCAAAAATGCCGCTACTTCCCGAGCCGCGGTCCTAGCGGGTACGTGGTGCAGTTGCGCGAATGGTCGGATTTTTCTTTTAAGAACCGTGTCTGGACGCGCGGAGACGGAGCCAATTCAAACCCGGAAATCTAACGGGCTCTAAAGGACTTTTCTAACCCCGAGAGGCGGTGGCCTCGGCGCCCCTCGTTGCTGTGCGATCCTGTGCGCGCCCCAGCGGCCAAGTGCCCTTCGGTCCCCGCCGAGCCTCGGGGCTGGCCGCCGCGCGGTCCCCGGCCCTCCGGCGCCGCGTTTTCTAGAGAACCGGGTCTCGTGATGCTCATTTGAGTCCGGTTTGAATGCAAGAAACGAAACCCTACAGGAACGAAAAGGCAGTGTCTGCGTCCCGTGCTCAGCGCTCTCCGGCAGCGGGGGCCCTGCTCGCCGGGAAGTGGCTTTTCCGTTAAGTGAGATGGAGGAAGAGGAAAAGCGAGGCTGGTCAGGACCCCCAAGAAGCACCCGGCCGCTCAGGGGAGAAGAACCCGCGGAGACCGAGGCTACTGCTTTTCTTGGTCGGTGCTTATTTTTCGGAGATCAGGAAATTTAAGGACAGCGGAAAATGCACGGGGAGGGAACTCTAGGCGACCCAGCCCTGAGGGACCCTCCGCAGTTGTGGGCTGAAGCTTTTAAGAGAGCCTTTGTTCCGGCAGCAGCGAGGGGAGAACGGAGGCTGCGTTGGCTGGCCAGGAGGACAGAGGTTATCTACCAAGGCTGGCTAGGCGCTCCAGGTCCTTGTCCCCCGGCAACTCCGCCCAGTCACTCGTTCCTCCACCCGCAGCGGGCTTGGGCCCCTCCATCCTGGGTACAGCTCCAGTCTGCCGAGCTTCGGGATCCCTAGCTCCCGCTTCCGGCAGCTTCATTCCTGGGAGTGTCTGTTGCTAGTTTCCAGCCTTCCTTGAAGCGCCCGCCGATTCGAGGCTTTAGGAAAACCGAAGTGGGTTCAGTTCCTAACTCTAGGGGAGGCTGAGCCAGCCCTTTCTACTTTCCCACCTGTCCTAGTCTGACAGCCCATTTATCACCGATTGGAATTATTGCCTCCAAACAGGCCGCACTCCAGCCTCCCGCTCGTTCGTTCCTCTTATTACAGTCAAAGGAAACCAAAGCCGTGTAGGGATGGCTGGAGGGCTTAAGGATGAACCCCAGTCCACAGGTCAGACTGTGTGAAAGAGGCCAGGCACACAGTTCCCTTGTCCTTATAGAAATATGTGGCAGTTGATCAATGTCTTGAGATTTAGTTTTGTATTAACCAGCCTCTTTCTTACTGGGAAAAGTTCTGCTTCTTTTGGAATCAGATAACCATCACTTATCAGCATTTTGGATATTTTTTTTCCAGCCAGTGGTTGGATTTGAAGGAGCTCTGTGTATCTGCACAAGCATGTGGACACAGATTGGGCACATACGAATCCACATGCCAGAACATTACAATGCACTGGGGCCTTTCTTTTAGGAAATAGACTAGGAGCAACCCAGCCTTCCCTGAAACTAGCAAATGAGAATGCAGGTCAGAAGGACCAAGTGAGTTGCTGCCATCTTGCAAGCTTGCTTTATTAAAACAAAATGAAACAAAAAAAGCCCAAAACAGAGTGTGACATTTAGCCACACAGGTGACTGACATACAAGAAAATCACCAAACAACCATTAAAGCAAACACACTGCAGCAGAGCACGGTGTGGCTTTCTCAGCTTCACACCTTCTGGTGTGCCTCTGCATCCCACTCTCTCACGTCTTTCCATGCTGCATCCTCACTCTGACCAGTTCTGGCCAGCCAGCAGTTGAGACCAAACTCTGAATACTGGGGTGAGCTAGGCTTTTTCTCTCCTTCTCTGGTTTATTTGTCAAGAGGTAATCCCTGATGAGATTTCCCCTGGGATCAGAATGATGTTGGATTTTTTTAAGCATTTCATTTTAATTTTAAACAAATCTTCCCAACCACCTCTCCCATCCTTCTTTCGTCTACCATGTTGGTAGAAACATATTGGTTCTTTTCTGTTTTTCCTAGAGCAGACTCCTCATTTTTCTCCTTTGACTACTTCTGACCATCTGACCCTCCACTATCCTAATTTAAACTTTCTTCAGCCAGGTCTGAGGACTTCCAAGTCTGCTTTCACCAACAAAGGCACAATGGTCAGGCTTCGGTCCCTGTGATGTCTTTCCATCCTGTTTGGTAGTAGCTCAGACCCAGACACTTGAAATGGATAAGGATTCTAGAGGTTTGTGAGTTTATCTCTGGGATTGAGGCAATAACACCTCAGTCAGAGGCAACTGTGAAGAAAGCCCCAGGACTAAACTTGGCCTGTGTAAGTCTCCAAAGCCCAGGCATTTCCCACTAGCAAAGGATACCAACACTTTTTTACCTGGAGAATTTTAACAAGGGCACCTCAATGATGGCCTGTTTCACTTAGAGATGTTTCCAGAAATGGGAACATAAGTCAACTGAATTGTCCAGATCATTGTTTTAAGAGCCAAAGAACAGGTCAAACCCATAGCCATCTCTGAGGAAATTAATTGGATCAGTTAATCTAAGCAGCTAACTCTTGTCAAAACACTCCATCTAGGCTCTGTGTTGGTGGTGGGTCAGATGACTGTTGAGTGCCACTGTATGAGGATCTATGGGTGATACTGTCAGGGCTTGTTTCAGCTCTGTTAGGCTGTGCAACTAAGACAAAGATTGCACGAAGGCCTATTGGATACACTGAGGGTTGGAGGGTAGAAGCCAGTTGTGCTTTTGTACTTCTTGACTACCACTCTAGCTGTGTCCAGTCTTCTTGATTACAGGCACTATGTTCAGTTTCCCAAGGGAGAGTCACTCTGAAAACCTTGTACAGCAAATGGAAGAATTTTCTGATTCTTTTCTGTATTACTGATGCCTACAGCCTATGTTTTACCACACTCATAGAAACCAATAAATCTATACCATCTATATCTGTATGTTAGAAAGATAACATCCAGATACTTATCCCCATGCTTCTTCAGCATGGATCTATTCAGAGAGGACTTTTTCCCACCAAGAAGCAGTAAGAACCTCCTGTGAGAACAGGCTTTATTCCTGGATGCTATGTTTCTACAGAGTCTAAAGCCTGGGGAGTCAAAGGTGGGGAAGGGTGAAAAGAAATCTGAATTTAGATTTCCTGGGATTGCCTGCATGCTAGCTACCCCTGGTCTGCTTTTACAAAAGACAGGATAGAGCCTAGCAGAAGTTTTCAATGGGTTAACTCCAAGAGTAGTTTAAGTTGGTGTGAGGAGAGAATCCTTGGATACCCTCTAATTCTTGAATGAGTGTTTAGTATGAGCATGCCTAACAGGCTAGCTGCTTAACCTTCCAACACCTCAACTTTCTTTCTGAAGGACCATTTACTTGAAAGCAAATTATTGTGGCCTGGGAAGGGAAAGGGTGAAGCCCAGATTCTTTAGCCAATCCTTGGGCCAGTCTCATCAGGCCTGGGCTCGCATCTGGCTCGCTTCTTGGCCCAAAAGAGTGGTCTGACGGCCTGGGATTTCGCGTGTCCCCACAGGATAGCTCTCTAGTGTGCGGAGGAACTGGGGAGCAGGGTGGACTTGGGCAGTCAAAGGGAAGGAAGAAGTAGAGTCCAGGAGGCCAGGTTCGGTAGTCTCCCTGCCGCAGCTGGGCTGCGGCTCACCGCGTCCCTTCTTTCTGTCTGTACCTGCGTGTGCTGCCTTTGCCGTGGGCCCGCAGCGAGCGACGTACCCCAGGACGGGCTGCTTCTGCACGGGCCCTTCGCGCGCAAGCCCAAGCGGATCCGCACGGCCTTCTCGCCCTCGCAGCTGCTGCGGCTGGAGCGCGCCTTCGAGAAGAACCACTACGTGGTAGGAGCCGAGCGGAAGCAGTTGGCTGGCAGCCTCAGTCTCTCAGAGACACAGGTAAGAATCACTGGAACCATGGCCCGCCCTGCGCTCGGCGCGCGGTGCCTGTCCCAGAACCCGGGGAGGGGAGGCGCGCGGGCGCGCTAGCAGCTCATGTCCTAGAGCTTCTTCCCTCCGACTGTGCTTAGCCTGCTGAGGCCATCGGACTTGGGTGGCCTTGTGCGGGCCCAGCGGGGGCTGCGGGGGTGCACCGTAGATGCAAGCCATGCGCGGGGTATTTGGAGGCCGATTCCCACAGCCTCTGCGGAGGACCCAGATTCCCCGGGAGATGGCGGGCAGGGGAGCTGTGACCGCGGGCACCGACCTGAGCCCGAGGCTTGCTCCAGCCTGTCTCTCCCATCGCGGCGGTAGGGCGCCGCAGTGTTAAGAGATGACCTTGACTGGGCCTTCCCCGCACCCGCTGCGCTGCGGGTAGCGGGCAAAGCTGGCGAGATCAATGCTGCCCGCCAGCATGTGTAGTCTGGGAAGAGAGTCTGGGTGTCTTCAGGCTATCAGGAGAGCCCGGAAAGGTGCCAGCTCCCGCCTGGGGTCTGAGGGTGCCCCGATCCTCGCGCAGGCCGGCGGCTGGGGCTACAGAAAGCACGGAGTGTGCGCAGGGCGTTTCTGCGAGGCCTTCGGAAGTGGGACAGTCGATGGGGAGCGGGGTGGAAGTGGTGTTCTGTCTCACCGAGTGGGGGAGGGGGCAGCTTGAACTGGGTGAAGTTACAATGGCTGTGTAATGTTTGGGTGATTGATAGTTTAAGGAAAAACCATTTAAGGAAGTAGATAGGAGTTGTGGGGAGACACATTTGGCTTACTCTAGTACTTTGACATAAATAAATAGTACTTGGGTCGGATCTGCGGGGCGCTCACTGCTGCCCTGGAGAGGAATTTTAGTCTTTTCCTAGGCTCTCCAGGTCTTCCACTTAACAGATTTGCAAATGAGAGGTGAGCTCGCACTGCCTACTCTGCTTTACAGCCTTGAAGGCCTACATTTCACCTTCCACTGCTCTTTCCAACATACTTGTTCTCCCCCTACACAAACACCTGCTCCCCAGGACCAGGAAATGCACTCCCCCCGCTTAAGTTGGGGGAGGGGGGCGGCTTGAAGCCTTCTATTAGCAGCTAGGGTGGAAAGGGGGACTAGTGAGGGAACCAGAAACTGCCCAGTCAGTTCCTTTCACCTTGGGCTCTGGTCTGGTATCGCTGTCGCAGTATCTGCTGGTGCTTCATTAACAATGAACGCATCAGCATTATTCCCGGCTCCATCGCAGGACCTGCGGGGTTTTCAGATTTGCTAGTGGCGGTTCTAAATTGCAAAGAAAAAGCTTGCAATGCAACGGACTTAATTTTTAAATGTTCTAAAGAAAGCTATGTTTTAAAAAAATAAGTTAATAAAATAACACCTCCTTCCCCTCTTGGCAAACAGTGTTTTGAAATTATTGTTTAAAACAAAGTGTCAACTTAAGCGTTGTTTATAATTAACTTCATTTAAAAGTAATATTTATTAAAACTTAATTGCAGAAACGTTAAGAAAGCAGAAACAGTTTATAATCCCACCACCCACAGATTAGTGCTTGTTGAAACAATGTCATTGTTTTAAAACTTACAATTTTTTTTAGCTCAGTGAGAGCATTTTTAATTAACTTTCAAGCTGAATCTAGTTGCCTGTCAATATTTGCTCCTAACAATGCCAGTTAGTAAACGGACTGATTGTTTCTTTATTATGAGACTATCACAGATATGTATTTAGAACAAAAACAGATAGAATGATGGAATTTTTCCAGCACCACTTGTGGCTAATCTTGGACTTTCTGTAAATGAGCATTTTGCATATGGAATAAAGAAAAACCCAATAGAACTATGAGAAATTTAGGCCTACAGGTCCTCTTTGTATTTATCTACCTGGAGACAAGGTGGAGAGATGGGCTGGGCAGAGCCTCCCAGTTAGGTAAATATGACTTCAAATATGTGACTTGGGCCAAGTTGCTCAACCTCTCTCAGCTTTGATTTCTTCATCAAGAAAACAGATTGTTCAAGCATATAATATAAACTCAAATAATATTCCAGTCCCTTCCTTTCCCTGGGTTTATGTCAAATTAGTGTCACAATAATGTCTGAACTTGGATTCCCTTAGACCAGCAATCTTCCTGCCACCATCTCCACCATCTGAGCTATGTTTTTGTTACCCTTCTAAATGACCATTTGGAGCTAAGCTACTTAATTATTCCCTTCTCAGTCATTATCAGACAAACCTGCCTGTCATTTTTACCTACCCACTATTTGGCAAGCATTGGTTATTACCATGAGCTCCCTGATACGTATTTCTACTGTCACTATTTACATTTGCTACCCAGGACTCTCTATAATCTGCCCCTCATGTATAGCTGCGTTTTTTTTAGGGGGGGGAGTGCCCTGAACTCAGGGCCTGGGCACTACTGTTCCTGAGCTCTTTGGCTCAAGGCTAGTGCTCTAGCAGTTTGAGCTACAGGGACACTTTCAGTTTTTTGGTGGCTAATTGGAGATAAGAGTCTCATAGACTTTCCTGCCTGGACTGGCTTTGAAATCTCTTCCTCCTGAGTAGCTAGGATTACTGATATGAGCCATTGTGCCCAGCTGTGTATAGCTGTTTTTTTTTTTTTAAATCTAGCCACCTACAGTCTGTTCTCATTAACAGCCCTCAAAACGGATTAATTTATACTTTCTAGTATATGTTCTTATCAATAACTCCTAATTACCTATCTGTTGCTTATCTCCTTATCATCTGTTTAGTTTTATCTTTGGCATGTCTATCACTGTCTCAAACTTCTGTCATATAGAGCTATTAGTAACTGACCATGTATTCAGAAGTTAATGGCTGGCTGTTACCTATCTATTCTGGCTTTGTCTTCTCTTTCAGCTGCATCTCTGAAACTCCAAGGTAGCCCCGAATTTCCGAGGCTCATATATATGTTTTCCTTTTCTGTGTTTTTGTATAAATCCCTTACACATGCCCAGAGCTCACAATAAATATCCTTCCTATCATAATATGCATCAAACTTTACTGTTACTCATTTTATTATGTCATTGTCATACACAGACATCAGTCTGTAGATTAGCTGCATCCTACCTCTCATATAGTCTTACAATACAGATCCAGCTGGTGCTGGTGGCTCACACCTATAATCCTTGCTTCCCAGGAGGCTAAGATCTGAGGATTACAATTGGATGCCAGCCTGGACTTGGAAAGTCCATGAGACTCATCTCCAATTAATCATCCAAAAGGCAGAAATGGAGCTGTGGCTCAAGTGGTATAGTGCCAACCTTGAGCAACTACAACAAAACCCTAAGGGACAGCACCCATACCCTGAGTTCAAGCCCTAGTACTGGCACATGCACACACACACACACACACACACAAACACACGCACATAAATAAATAAATAATACAGATTCATAGGTCTTGCTGAGGATATTGTCTTAGAAGATCCAGGGTGGGGGCCAGGCATAAAGTAAATAAAAAAAGCTTTCTGGGTGATTCTGATAATAGGTCTGAACTGTGGGAAACAGAGACTAAACCTAAACCTATTTAACACAGGACCAAACAGTGCCCCGCATGGAGTAGATGCTCAATAAACATGTATTAAGTGAAGGGACAAATTTCTTGTGATTCCATACACACTTTATTGGTAATTTCTCTTGTTGCCTGCTGTTAGGGTTCCTCCTTGTCTTCCTTCTATCTTTCCCATGCACTTTCATAGCTGATTATTAAGTGCATCATGTAAATGCATAAACCTTTTTGATTAAATAGATTGGTGTGTGAGGGAGCTCAGTACTCACAAAACTTCAGCCAGAGGAGGTAGGTGGCAACTTCTGTCACTTTGTTGACATAGGGGTGTATAGTTTAGGTGGGTATTTGTACTGATGCTCATGCATCCACCCAGCAGGTGGAAGGAGGAGCCACGCACAACAGCCGGTCAGTTCTTCCTTCTGGTTCTCATTATTTGCTTCTCCCACTGTGGTCTGGAATTTGACCAGGAAGGGAACATGTACGCTTTAGTCCTAGTGGCTGGTTGGGCAGACTTAGGCCCGGGTCTGTTCAGAGCTTCATACACACATGCATGCCCACAATGTAGAACACATGGCATACTGTGATTAATGACCAAAGTTCAGGTGATATCACAGGTGTTCATCAACTGCTAGTTGGTAGTCACATGACGTGAAGACCATTTGCATGCTCTGTGTATATATGTTTATTATTTGTGTAAGTGTGTGTGTGTGTGTGTGTGTTTTATGTGTGTGTGCCAGTACTGGTTTTTGAACTCAAGACCAAGCATTCTTGTTTGACTTTTTTGCTCATGGCTGTTATTCTACCACTTGAGCCACACCTTAGTTCCAGGTTCATTAATTTGAAGAGGAATGAAAGCACCTGTTTGCTCCTAGATGACCAGATGGTCCGTGTGGCAGCTACCCTCCTGCTCTGAACAAATCAGGAGGTATAATTTGACCTTGTCTGGCTTTGACATTAGCTGAGCTGGGAGGGGAAAAAATAACTACAGAAATGTGGTCCTTGGCCTTGGGGAGTCTCATTTAGTGGTGAAGCCTAAATTCAAAGTGAGGAGACTTATAGAGCATACTACAGGATGAGCAGTTAGGGGCTGAGTCACAGCTAGGAGCTAAGCAGGTTCAGGGAAAAACTGAATGGGCAGAACATTCCTAGAAGGCCTCTGACCGGGAAGGCCTGAGACAGAAGTGAAAAATTATAGATTGGAGGGAAGGAAGGAGAGGCTAGAGATGGGTAGGTTAAGATAGAGAGCAAGCTATTAAACTTTAGCTGTCGTCTTGGAGCCTAAAATTAGGGAGGGAGGTTTTGGCAGATCAGAATATGCAGTCACCTCCCTATGGGGTTTTCTTCACAAACACATGGGAAGGGACTTTCATGGGTCCCAGTCTGTTGTACAGTGCTCTGCCCTTTTAGGGGACAGATGAGAAAGATATCCTAGTGAGATGAATTTTAGGGAAAAGTCAAGAAATCTTTATCCCTAGCCCTTTGTGGTTCTCTCTGTGGACTTGTAACTTCTGGCTCTTTTCTAAGAATTCCCACTCCTCTAACATTCCAGGAGTCCTTTGTGGAGGAAATACGGAGATTGGAGTGGTTCTCTGAGGTGCTGGGACAAGGGACATAGCCCTAGGTGGATGTTGTGATATCTTACATGAGGGTGAGGGTCAACAATGGGCTGAAAGAGGAGGACACAAGAAGACTTAGGAAGAATTAGGGCTATGGTTAGTATGAAGTTGGAGGAGGCCTTAGTTCTAAGAAGGGAAACAGCATGAGCAAATGACAGGAAATGAAGCCTCAGGGAAGAAGGCAAGGAAGGGATATCTCCAAGCTGCTATCTATTATGCGGGTTTTCTGTGTTTTAGGATGACAGAATGAGACAACAAGTTTAAAGCAGAAGAGATAACAGTGGGGCAAAAGGAGGAACTTCCTAATTCCTAAGATCTTGATAAGGATACTTGAGGTCCTTGAGGACAGGACTAGTGTTCCCCAGAACATGTGCAGGCACCTGGAGCCAGACTCATCCATTGGCAATAGGAAAGGTTGGGGGAAGTAATGGAAAAGAAGGGATCACACCTCCAACATTCAAAATAACAGATTATACAAAGAACACTATTATTTTCTCTGAAATAATGGCTGGGTTTGATGTTTGCTCATTTGACAGTTTGTCTATTTATTCATGTATTTATGTGGCATACCTTCATTCATAATGCATACTTTAACAGTCCTTTAATGAACTGATATCTTCATTCATCCAGAGTGATTTCATATCTCCTTCTTTTCTTACTGGTTGAGCCTTGTTCCTCTCAATCACCTTCCCCCAGAGGTGGTAAATTCCCTCTCTGTTTTTCCTTAGTATGTTTGTGTGTGCATGCATGCACATACCAGTCCAGGGACTTGAACTCTGGCCCTGGGCACTGTCCCTTAACTCTTCATCTCAAGCCTAGCATTCTACCACTTGAGCCACAGTACCACTTCTGGTTTTCTGAGTGATTTATTGGAGATAAGAGTCTCACGGTCTTTTGTGTCCACACTGGCTTTAAACTGGGATCCTCAGATCTCAGCCTCCTGAGTAGCTAGGATTACAGGCTTGAGCCACCAGCGCCTGCACGCCTGTGAGATTTTTTTTTTTGGGTCCGGTCGTGGGGCCTGAACTCTGGGCCTGGGCACTGTCCCTCAGCTCTTCAGCTCAAGGCTAGCGCTCTACCACTTGAGCCACAGCGCCACTTCCGGTTTTTTCTTTTTGCTTATGTGGCCCAGGGCCTCAGGCATGCAAGGCAAGCACTCTACCACTGAGCCACCTTCCCAGCCCCAGGTCCAACAATTTCTGGGCCAGTCTTTTTTTGTCCTAGGTGGATTTCTCCATGAGCACTGAGCTCTGGCTGCCATGCCTTCACCTAGTGGTAGGGCAGATGGCACAGTGGAACCCTTTTTGGGGATTGTTAGGGGGAATCTGGAAGGGGAAGGGGATAAAGCTAGGGTGTATGAGGAAGGTATATCCTGGACTGAAACCACCTTCAGGCCTGTTTTGTAGCTTAGGTCTATGCTTATCCTCAAGCTAAATTGGAGAGTCTTTTGGGGGCTGACACAGCCCTATCCAAGGTACCAGTCCTGCACACAGCAGCCCCTGCGGCTGCTGCCGACACGAGGCACTCACTCACCAGCGTGCGGTGGGTAGCACCCACTTGCTTTAAACATGCTGCCATTTCCAGTGAGCCTTGGACCTTGCAACTAGCCCTCCCTGGGTCCCCTCCCCAGCAGCCCCGTGGAACAAAGATCTGGGAAGTACCTTGGAGATACAGGGTTCCAAAACACCTTTGTCCTGTGCATGAGGAATTTAAGCCCAGGGAGGGGAAGGGACTTAATGAGGTAGTTGCCAAGATTCCTCTCCTGCCAACTCTGAGGAGGGCTTAGGTCTGGCCGGTGCAGTGCCATGGAGTCCAGCTAAGGACTGGATGGCTTTCTCCATAGTGTGTAAGGAGCCACAGTGGCTCCTGGGTGATGTAGGAAAAGATGTTCAGGCTATGTCCTGGACACTGGAAACACTGGAGAAGGAGAAGCAAAGGATGATTGGAAATAGGACTAAGTTGGGAGGCTTTGTGGAGGAGAGGCCTAGGATCATAGGCCTGCCCTTCCCCACCACAGAGGCTGCTTATCCTACTTGTTTATACTTCACCTCTCCCCTTGTTGGGCGCTCACTGCCTGACACAGAGGAGGGGGTTACTGTGTTCAAATAGGAGTTTATGACTGGGCAAGGTGGCTCCTACCTGTAATCTCAGCTAGTGTAGAGGTATCCTAGGCAATAGTTTATGAGACCTTCTTCTCAACAAACAAGCTAAGCATGGTGGTATTTGTCTGTGGGAAGCATAGGTAGAAGGGTCTCAGTCAGAGGTCTGGACACAGGCAAAAAGTAAGAGACCCTATCTGAAAAAACAAAAGAGAAAAACCTGAAGCAAAAAAGGGCTGGTGATGTAATACAAGTGGTAGAGCACCTGCCTAGCAAATGCAAGTCCTTGAGTTCAAACTCCAGAACTGCCAAAACAAAAGCAAAAGCTTCTGTCCTTCAGGGTTGCTCCTGCTTGCTCCCATGTCCATCTGGACACTGGGGCCAGTGATGTGGGGGCAGGAAGTACAGAACTGCTTCTGGAGGGCAGAGCAGTACTCCGAGGTGGGGTCTCAAACACAACTCCTGTCTTTGTCTGTCCAAGGAGGATGAAGGTGCCCTGGTGGCTTTCAGATTACCCCCAAGAGCTGGCTCCTGAGGGACCAGGGCTAAAGATGCCACCCAGCTCCAACTCTTACATGGGGGAGGAGAATTCCACATAGTGCTATGAAAGTGTCCCCTGATAAAGGGACCTACATGTAGCATGTAGGGTTAAGCCTCAGTGGTGGTTCCGTGGCTCAACAGTGTTCTAGCTGCTCCAGGGTCCTACTCTTGATGAGGGACACCATCTTCTGATTATGAAGACACATCTGCTCTGCCTCTGTGCAGAAAAAGCCAATCCAGCAGGAACTCATTGGGTTCCCAATGGTGGCTCTTTATATGTTCTTGCCTTTACTATTCATTAGGCCCTGTGCAGGAGGGATAATTACCTCATATTTAGAAGTTGGTAGAAGCCAGGCCTGCTATGCTCCCTCACCTCTGCTTGCTAGAGGAAGGGCTATTGAAACCAGATGTTCCCCATCCCCCTTCCTTGCTCCCTCCCCCTAGTCCAGTGTTGTCCTCCTGTCCCACTTCACTTACATCTGAAGAACAGTCTTCCAGATCCAGCAGGGGGCAACTATCTGAGGGGAGCCCTGACCCCATGTAGCCTCAGTTTCCTCATCTGGCTCCCAGCTTAGCTGGAGAATTGGAGGCCCTGTGGCTGCTCTGGAGACCTCCTGGGTGTTTCTTATCTGTGCCCCTCATCCCTGGTGCAGGTGAAGGTGTGGTTCCAGAACCGGAGGACAAAGTACAAACGGCAGAAGCTGGAGGAGGAAGGCCCCGAATCTGAGCAGAAGAAGAAGGGGTCCCACCATATCAACCGGTGGCGCATTGCCACGAAGCAGGCCAACGGGGAGGACATCGATGTCACCTCTAATGACTAAGGGAACATCCAGGAACCTGAGGACAGAGTGCTGCTTGCTGCTGGTCAGGGCCTGAGGGGCCCACGCTGGACTCTGGTCACTCCCTGGCCAGGCTGCAGGGAGGCCTCCAGTCACAGCTCCACAGGGCTTGGAGCCTGGGGCCATCATGGGCAGAGGGACAAGAAATGGCTGGCTAAGGCCTGGCACTGCTTGGCCTTCTCTGTGGAGAGCCTGCCTGCCTAGGGTGGGCCACCTGTTACTGCAGCCTCCTGCTGCTCTCCAATTCTCTTAGCTCCTTTTTGTTTCCATGCATTTCTGTTTTAATTTATTTTCCAGGCACCTGCTGTAGTTCTTAGTGATCCCCTTGTGTCTCCCTTCCCTATGGGAATAATAAAAGTTTCTCTCTTAATGACAAGGCATCCAGCTCCAAACCTAGAGCCTGGGGTGGTGAGTTTCAGCTCTGGGCCCAGTGGGTGCTGGTAGAGCAAATGTGTTCAGGATCCTGAGGCATTGGATGGGGCAAGATCATTCTCTCCTTTGGTGCTGATCAACTCTGGTCTCTCTACTCCAGCTCCACAGCTGGAGAAACTATGGTGAGACATAGGGAAGGACCACCCTGTGTTTGGAGGGAGGCTAGGCCTGGGTCTTTGCAAACTCATCAGTGGGAGAGGGAGAAGAGAGGAGCCCCATGCTTACATAATGGTGATTTCCCCAATGGAGAAGGCTATTGGGGGTGGGGGCGGAGTACTGGGCTGGGTTATGGGGACACCAGACAAGGGGCTGATGCTCCCAGCTCTAAGTCCTCTTCCCACATGGATGTTCATGTCCATGGAGAACCACTGGACAGGTTCCAGTTTCAGAGACACCAGTCCCCCAATAAAGTGTCAAGGCAAGACCTGCTGAACTCTTTTTTGTCCACATACGCTTGTTTGTTCATTTGTCCTTCCTATTTGTCCAGTATTAAGGTCTCCTTGATCTTGAAAAAGTATAACCTGGGTTCCTAAAGTCTTTCCTGTCCAACATCCAAACCCCCACTTCTGCATCCTCCACACCCCCAGTTCTTCACCATCCATGTGCTCCCATCACCAGTCTAACTTTCTACCCATGTTAATGATAGTCATCAACAATGGTCAGCAGCCACCCACTTGTGGCCAAATTCAATTGCCTCCTGAACTGATCCCCGAACTGTCCTTGTCTGCCTTAACTCCCCCCACCCCTCTACAATCATTTCTGTATCACATCTCCTCTCCTCGTACCTCTTCTCCCCTTTATGGGTTTTGTCTGCCAAGGACCCTCTCTTCCTCATCACACTCTTCCTTGGGGGTTCTGGTGTTAATTGGAGATAAGAGTCTCACAGACTTTCCTGCCTGGGCTGGATTTGAGTCACAATCCTCAGATCTCAGCCTCCTGAGTAGCTAGGTTTACAGGCATAAGCCATCAGGACCCTGCTCTGGAACTGTCCTTTTTAGATTCCAGGGAATATTTCTGGTTGTTGGAAGAAGTCGTTTTTCCAGGACTTCTCTTTGGTTCTCTGGTCTGTTTCTTTAAGCCAACTGAGCTTAAAGTCTACTGAGTATGGACTCAGGCAGCCACCTGCTGGATTCCATGGCCAGCACTCAGCCTAGTCACAGCTGGATGCTCCCTACACAAGCTATGCTTTAGCATTGTCTTCCATGGCAAATAGAAGAGTCCTGTGGAGCATTCCACAACGCAGAGGACACCTGGAAATTTCCCTCAGGCTTCCTCCCTCTTCCCTGCCTTATTCATTCCCTCCTAGATGATAGAGTCTAGACTGACTCCTCAGCACATCTCAGTGTGTCCCTGCCACCACCTAGGCCCAGGTCTGCTCCGCTAATGGTAGGGTGGATATCATGTGACTTCTGTGAACGTCAAGGGTAAAACCCACTTCCAAGGAGCCACCCATGCTCTGGCTAGGAATCTATTCCTCCTGCCTAAGTAGGATGGTATAGCAACTTTCCTCAGCTCCCTACTCTGCCCCCACTTCTTTCCCACCCTCAGCCTCTCCTACTAGTCGTTGGTGTCCTCCATTTCTGTCTTACTCATTCCTGTCTCAGAATGAGCCATGGTTTGCTGTGTCGTGCCTTTGTTTATGCTGTTCTTCCCTCCTGGACTGTTGGGCAGCACCCTGGTGGGTGCTGGATCAATGTTGACTACATTGGGAAGATGTTCAAGGCCCAGCCTTGTTGCCTTGGCCACACACAGAGATCCAGGGACTGAAGGTTATTCTGCTAAGAAAACAGAACTAGGTCCCACTGGGTCTATCATTAACTCCCTCTGCCCATCTTACTTTTGCCCAGTCAGTGCTAGAAACCAAAGGACTCTGTCCTGTCCCTAGACCTTTTTTCCTTCTTCCAACAACCAGGAATATGTCCCTGGAATCTTAAAAAGGACAGGTCCAGAGCAGGATGCTGGTGGCTCACGCCTGTAAACCTGGCTACTCAGGAGGCTGAGATTTGAGGATTGTGGTTCAAAGCCAGCTCGGGCAGGAAAGTCTATGAGACTCTTACCTCCAATGGAAAACCAGAAGTGGAGCTGTGGCCCAAAGTAGTAGATTGCTAGCCTTGAGCATAAAAGCTCAAGGACAGCACTCAGGCCCCACAACCACTACCACCACCAACAAAGAACAGGTCGAGATTAAACCTATGGTGGCTGCGTCTGCTAAGCAGGTAGAATAACCTCAGGAGTGCATGCACACACAGGTAGCGTGAGAGCCAGAAAAAGCCTCCATTTGGCCCCAGTGGGTGGCAAGGCAAGGGGAGAGCCCTTCTTCTCCAGATCCTGCCTCACCCCGTGGGGGAGGGGTTTGAGAAGATCGCAGCAGAGCACCCAGTCTTGAAGATAAAGGGCTGGAAAGGACTAAGGAAACCTGCCAATCTTCCCAGCCAGGCCCGTGGGGCGGGCGGGGAGTCCCATCCATCCCCCATGTTGTGCCTCTCCCGCAGACGGTAAATATTGGTGTTGTGACTTCATTAATAAAGGCTTCTGTGAGCCTGAAAAACATGGAATCAGGATGAACTATTTTCTGAGCTGTGGGCTTGCCAGGTTTGCTAATTTGGGAGTTTTTGGGTCCTCTCCAGGGAACAAACCAAAGTCTCTCTCGAAAAGACGCAGATGCAGCCTAGAAGGGAGAAGATAGGCCTGCTCCCTTCCCTCCCCCGGACGGCTCCTCCGGCCTGAAGAGCAGAGCCTGCAGATGGTCAGGCTGAGGGGAAATTGGCCTTCTGACCCCCTCAGTGTGCGTGTGGGAGCTGCTGGATCAGGCCTCCCCTGAGTGAGCCTGCTAGGCCATCTCCCCTCACGTAGGCTGGCCTCCCAGGGGCCTGCAGAAGGACAGGTCAATCCTTCTGAGCACCTGTAAGAATACCAAGTTGTTGAATGGGGCAAGCACAGGTTATGCTTAACTCTTGTGGTCAAATCCACACACGTACCTCAGGTGAAACAATCTCTACGCATCCTCTTGTCTGTGGAGCTTTCTGGGATTGGTCCCCATGGCCTTCGCAGAAGCATGGTGTGCGCTCTATGGCCATCCCTTCCTCAAAGGTGCTGTGATTGCTTCCCCATGAGACCTTGAACAGTCCTCAGCTGAGTGAGCCAAGGTCTGTCCAGAAGGAGCCAGGTGGCCCGCAGGCCTCTCCCGGACCCCTGTTCCAGGGCAGCCGTGGGGGGTGGGGGAGGGGAGGGGGCCAGCAGGCTGAGCAGTGCAGGCCCAGCCAGCTTTCCTGTCAGACGGCACTGCCAAGGCGGAGCCAGACATCGAGAACAGGTTTAACCAATTACCCGAGCTCCCCATCTGCTGTCTGGGGTTCGTGTGAGGGTGAGTGCATGTGAGGGTGTTTGGAGTGTCTGTGAGGGCTGTGGGCGTGCGTGAGAGTGTGACTGTGTGGGTGGGTGTGGGCGTGCGGCTGTGCCTGTGTGTGCTGTACACGTGCGCAGTGTGTGGCTGCTCGTCCTGGTCACGGCACTCATTTGTCCAAGGCTGAGGCTAGCGATTGATAGTCTTCCTACCACCCCTCAAGACCTTGGGGATCTGCAAAGATAATCTACTCTGCGCCCTGACTTCTCCTTCCCCACGGTCCTCCCCACCTTCTCTAAAAGATGTCCTTTCCTACCAAATTGTTCACACTGGCTTCCCACTTTCCCTCCAAATCAGTGGGCATTAGTTCCCTCCTGGCTGTGGTCTCTCCTCTGTTCTCTCTCCCAACATGCCCTTGTCCCAGTAGCCTTCGTTGGCACCTGTCTGGAAAAGTTTGTAGCCTGCTTGGACCCATTTCTTGGTCTGTCCTTGGGGACACCAGGCAAGTGTGTGAGGTGACAACCCTCTGCATACGGGTTTCAGTCTCGGTGAAGCCTCACCCTCATTTGAAAAGTTCACTCCCACCCTCTACAGGAGAAGTCTCACATCGTCACTCTTCTCAAACGTCTTTCCCCTTGTTCTCAGAAGAGGACATACTTTCTGTCTTCAGAGATAAAGAAGATACCCTTGGACAGAACACCTTGGCAAGAGTCAGAAAAGGTAGTTTCAAACAAGGCCATCAAGTGGGAAGGGGGGGCAGGGGACATTAGTAAAGGAACAGTGAATAAATTCAGGAAATCCACAAGGGATGTTGCAATGTCCCAGGGCTAGCAACAATGAGGCCTTTAGGCCTGAAGGGGTGGGATCAGTGGCCAGATTCAAAGAAGACAGCAAGCAGTAGTGCTCCAGATAGGAGCTGTAGCCTGTATTACACAGAAGTCCACAGAGAGCAAGAGGAAGCAGGGGGGGGGGAGCGTAAATCCTATTTTTCCCCCTCCCCACCTTCCGCTCCTCCAATCCTCCAGTCTCCTGCTCAGGCTCCTGATGGCAGAAGTTGGACATCAAGTCTGACAAGCCTGACTAACCACCTATCAGCAGAGAGCAGGGGGAGAAGAGTACAGGGTAGATGAAGGGTCCCACCCTTGACTCCTCATCTTCACCCCACACTTCAGTCCATCTTCTCCACCTGCCTCTTGTTACCACCTATAACTTTTATATTCCTTCTGGAGGACCTAGGAAAAAAGGCCTAAGCCTTCTCTGAGTTAGTGTCATGCTGTGGCCACTGCCATATCTCACAACTCATAGCTTACCGTTACATTTTTTTCTCTGCTATTCAGGAGGCTGAGATCGGAGGATCTCAGTTCAAAGCCAGCCAGGGCAGGAAAGTCCATGAGACTCTTATCTCCAATAAACCACCAGAAAACTGGAAGTGGCACTGTGGCTCAAGTGGTAGAACGCTAACCTTGAGCTGAAGAGCTGAGGTATAGCACCTAAGCCCAGAGTTCAAGCCCCACGACCAACCAAAAAACAAAAACAAAAAAATTCTCTCTGTTGGCAGTGTGAGGGAGGCCTACTGACTCCCAGTCCATGGTGAGTTG